AATTTAAATTCAGGTATCAAACTCCTGCTGAACTTTGTATAACATGGAGCCAAATGCCAAAAGATGTGGTTTGAGAATGTGCAATGACTTACTTTGTTGGCTGTTGCCATTGCCTCCTAAGTGGACATTCATTCATAATTACTTGCAGGTTTAAAACAGGGATGCTGAACCTCTGGCCTGTGGGCCTGATTTGGCATGTGAAGGTTTCTTACCTAATCTTACTATGATTCCATAGTTTGCACTTAAAAAAAATCTTCCACTTGGATCAGCTGCATGAACTTCAGTTGGTGCTTCACTTCCCCTCATCTTTCCTGTTTGGTATATTTGCAGAACCAGCAAAGCTGAGTCATGACTGAAAGGCCAGTTGAAGGATCCAGTACAGTGGTGCCTCGCTTAACGACGTTAATTCATTCCAGTGAAATCACTGTAGAGTGAAAATGTCGTAAAGTGAAATAAAAAAGCCCATTGAAATGCATTGAAAACTGTTAAATGCGTTCCAATGGGCTGAAAAACTCACTGTCCAGCGAAGATCCTCCTTAGGGGTGGCCATTTTTGGTGCCTGTAGAGTGAGGAATCCGTCCAAAAACACAGCGGGAGCCATTTTGAGCAGCCGGCGGCCATTTTGAAACCCCGACGATCAGCTGTTTTGATCGTCGTAATGCGAAGAATCGGTTCCCGAAGCAGGGAACCGATCTTCGCAAAGCGAAAAAACCCCATTTAAAAACATCATCGTGAAGCGGATTCGTCATTACACGGGGTAATCGTTAAGCGGGGCACGACTGTAACTTCAGGGGATATGGTCCTACTTCATAATGTCATCTAAACCATGACAGGGTTTTTAACTTAAAGGTTTCCTGTCTTTTCTTTAAATGTGTCCCCTCAGCAGATATCTACTTCCTGATTCATTCTGACAGCCTGGTGATTGCCATACTCACAAACCTAGGAAATGGATATCTGACTGTGGGGCTCACATGCTTCTAGGTATCCCTTGGAATAAATAGGTGGGGGTATGCCCTCATGGGCGCTGGGCGACTGGCTTCCATCCCATTTTCTTCTCCCTTTCATTGCTTTGAAATATGAATAAAGTCTATGAGGAACCCCCTCCACACCTTTAAGATTCAGATAGCTAATTGCACGGGTCTGATGATCATGTACTCTGTATAACATGACCTAACAGAAGACATCAAAATTAATGAAAACAAGGAATATTGCTAATTATAAGCCAAACGCTGACATGCAGCAGCTGCTACCAAACTCTGCCTTATAAGGTAAACATGCATCACATCAAGTAAACTAAAGAGATTAATTAAGAGACATGCAGACAGATGTTGGAAGTTAGAGTGGGAAAAAAATAAGCTTACACTAGGTGAATTGTGGTGGTTCATCTGAGCATGTATTAGGACAACACCCTCAGGGTCTGGGAGATCTGATTTTGAATGAAGAACCTTCTAATTAGGGAAATGAAAACCTATTTTTGTTGCATTTTTTAAGCATCCCACCAATTCTGCTTTTTACCAATGGACCATTTTGAAGTTTTTCACTTTGGAGGGACTAGTGGTGAAAATTTGATGCCCACTCGAGCAAAGTTGTTTATCTCTGTTGAAAATATATGTTAATATGTTATTCACATTTTTCAAAGGTATGCATGCTTAGAAGCACAATTTTCTTTGCCATAATGCATTGCAAGCCTATGATTTCTAAGGCAAGAAATATTGTGTTCTGTTGCCAGTCTCAAGAAGCATGAAATAGATATTTTCATAGGGAAATGCAGACCCAAAGGTTTTTCTTCTTCTTCGCCTTCATTACATTCCCCACCAATGGAAAGATCCCACTAACCTCCTCCATTCCCAAACTGAAGCAAGTAATGCTGGTCATGATGGACTCTAGGGGTCATCATTCATTCAGTGCCCTCACTTCAACAAATGGCACCCCTTCACTCTGATTTGCCATGCACTCAGAGTCAAACTATATGTTACAGACAGTACATGATGAGAAAATGAAATCACATACATGCCAAAATAATTTGATCATTGCAGCAGGAGCTTTTCACACCTCCTGCAATCTGCAACCAAGAGATGACATAGGCATCGTTTGGAAGTAGACAGAAGGGTTTTTTTAAAAATTGGATTGTTGTGCTCTGTTGCTTTCAAATGTGTTTCTAGTATTGATTTTGTTTACTGTTTTTAATACGGTGCTTTAAAAAATCTTTTAAAATATTATTATACTTTTTGTTTTTAATTTTAATATTGTCATTTTAATGATTTAAGCCACCTTGGGCCCTCTTATGGAGAAAGGCAGGCTATAAACAAACAAACAAACAAACAAACAGCCTGGGGCAAGTGGAACAGGCCCAGAGTACCCCTTAAGAAGGGAACAGTAAACTACTTCTGAGTACTCTCTGCCTAGAAAACACGGAGAAGAGTCACCATAAGTTGGAATTCACTCGACAATTATCATTATGATCATTCAGAATTGAAGGTCTGCCGGAATCAAATCTCTAAAATGATTTCAGCTTCTAATAATTTGCTCTCTGTGACTTATAACAGAACCACAGATGGACCACTCTTATGTCATCCATGACCTTTTTTGTGCAATGAAGAAGAAGTGAGGAGAAAGGCAGAAGAAAGGGGGAAATCTTAGTCTTTTTTCTTTTTGGTCCTTTGCCACATGACTGGCTCTCCTGTTCTGAATATAAGACAGCGAGGGAGAGAATGTGCTTGTGTCCTGTCAGGTGATGTGGGTAGTATGAAAGCATTGGCTGTAGGAATTCTCCAGTTTCACACCAATTTTGTAGAGTTGGATTAGGGGCCTAAGAACAAATCTAAGCCAAATTTAACTTGGAGGTCTCATCTGCTCAAGACCTGCACTTTGAACTAGTGAGGTTCAAAGTGTAGACTAACAAAAGCCACTTACAGTGGTGCCTTGCTTAACGACGATAATCTGTTTCAGGAAAATCGCCGTCAAGCGAAAACATCATAAAGCAAAATTTAAAAAAAACCATTGAAATGCATTGAAACCCATTCAATGCATTCCAATGGGGTAAAAACTGAAGATCCTCCATACAGCGGCCATAGCGAGGAATCTATCCCTAAACACAGCAGGGAGCCATTTTAATTACCTGGTAGCCATTTTGAAACCGCCGATCAGCTGTTAGAAAAACGTCATTTTCCAAAGAATCGGTTCCCGAAGCAGGGAACCAATCATCGCAAAGCGAAATTCCCCATTTAGACCATCGTTTTGCGATTGCAATTGTGATCGCAAAAAGATCGTCGTAAAGCAGATTTGTCATAATGCGGGGCAATCGTAAAGCGAGGCACCACTGTATTTGAATAACAGAATTTTATTAGTGACAATTAATTGATACACAAGTTAAAGCAAAAAAGAGAGGAAAATAAAAGTTCATTCTTTCTCCCATCCACAGGGTCTCTGAGACAGGGTGAGAGATTCTGAAGACTGACACTGCTTAAGCATTTGCATCAACTCCAGTTCTGAGCTGAAGACTAAGACAAAATTTCAGAACCAGGTCTCTTCTAGGGAGACAAAGCATGCAGCAAAGGGATAGGATAGGAGCACCAGCTCCCCTCTTCTTAACTGTATTGATTGCAATGGGTGGCAAGTCATAGCCATTAGTTCTCATAACTCTCTTATTCACTGAGTCTGATGGTCTAAAGCATTGGTTCCCAACCTTGGGTCTACAAATGTTCTTGGACTACAACTCCCAGAAGGCTTCACCACTAGCTTTGCTGGCCAGGATTTCTGGGAATTGTAGTCCAAGAATATCAAGGTTGGGAACCACAGCTTTAAGGACATTATTATTTTTCCCTGTATTTTATTTTTTTTCATCTAGTCTGAATAAGCAACCCCATTCTACTTTATCAAAGGCATTTGAGACACCTAAGGAGTTTATGGCCATGTTATTTGCTTTACTTTTTATGTCATAGTAGATCATATTTACATAGCCTTTGTATGAGATTCATGGAAGGAAAAAGAAATAAAACACAATATTTTTTATCCCAGAGCTATAATTGCAATTAATAATGAGCTTAAAGACCACCAGTAGTGAATAATTAGTTGGACTGTGTTACTTGGCCTGCAATGTGGATGTTTGTATTTTTAGTGGGGGACTTTTAGTGGGTGGGGAGTGTTTGGGAATTTTGTGTGTGTGCATGTGTCTGGTCTCTGGGTGTCTGTGAATTTCGTTGTATGTGTATATACTTACAATGACAATAAATTGATGGTTATGTTGCTAGGTTTTCTAATAAGTCATATTATACAGTCAAACCTTGTATTATAGCCTGGAGCACGTTTTGCCTCCATATTAAAACCACACTATTTCTTCTGATTTTGTCATTTCCAGAGTGAAAAACTTATTATTATTATAAATACATGACCTGTCTTTATTTTATCAAGCCAACTTGATGTTTTGATGTACTTCATTATAACATAATCTAAGGCCAAATTGTTTAAGTTCAAGAATGCTACAGTTGTTAAAATTTTTGCATCCTCATTTTATAGGATACTTTGCTAGTATGAACTAATTTCTTCTGTCTTTTTACTAGTATGTGTCATTAGATTAATTCTTGGGTTTAGCTTTATAATTCCTCAGTTTTCTAAATGACTTCATGAATTTCCTCTGAGGTTATTTGCTGGCTTATGTAATGTTACTATACAGTACCTTTGAGAATTTTTTGAGTTTTGTCAGTCAACTCCACGCTGCTTGTTTAGGAATACAGAGATGAGTAAGATTGAAAACCTCTCTCTAAAAGCATTGAAATAATTTTTTACAAATTATAAATCTTTATAAAAAAAATAAGTAAATCCCCTTTTCATTTTAATCACTTTGATGTTGTTTATTAAACAATTGCTTAGAATGTTTCCCGCAAATTGATAATATTTTTGTTGGGCTCATTGCAAATTAATTTGAATTTTATTTATCTCTAATAATTGTAATTCATTCTTTTTCTCTGTATTAAAAATAAGATTAAAACAACGGTGGCATTTTTTAATGGATTCATTTTCTTGGCTGGATTACCTGAGTGGAACCTGCTGGAGATTGCACGCCAGATTTGGACAGGCCTCAAATTCTACAAGAGTGCATAAAACACCAAAGTGAGGATGCAAGTTTCTTCCCTGATGCCTTTTTAAAGCTTACCCTAGAAAATATCTTACTCCATTCTCTTTCTCTTCCTCTCACTAATTCCTCTACCCACCCCTTGCTTCATCTTTTTTGTCTTCCTCTTTATTTACTGCTGTATTTCATTTCAGTTTCCTTTCAGCTATTCCCTCATTTTATCTTCTCCCACCTTTTTACTGGAGCAGCAGAGAACGAAGGAGATCCGAGAATGTATCAATATATTAACAAGGACTCCTGCTGAGTATACATAAGGATTCTGAAGCAGCCTTCGCACAGCCTCAGCTTTTATGTATTTGCTTGCAGTGGTCTCTGTATTGGCAACTAACTAGAGGAGTCACAGCTTCTTCTCATGGCTCCATAATGGAACATAACTAACCAGGGGGTTATGCAGAAGTTGTGAGGAAGCTGAAACACAATGAGGGGTAATCTGGATTGTGGCAGGGTTGCCAGATACACAGGTACTAAAAGGAGGACAGAGAAAGACAAAAAGGAGGACATATTGAATGTTTCATTTGAATCGTTCCAAATTAAACCCACAATCAATACAATTTTATTACAATAGCTGCCAATAAATGTCTCTTAGTGAACCGACCAAAAAACAGTCATGTTAAAAAATAAAAATAAATTCAATGGAGGCTTTTTTTCAAAATACCGGGGGTTGGGCAGGCAGGTGGGGGCGGGGAAAGCCAGAGGGAAGGGGGTCCTTCCACCTCTCCCCCTCCCATCTAAAATTATAACATAAAATATACAAAAGCCCGACATTTTAAAGATTTGTATCTTTGCCTGCCTGACAGGGGACATTAGGCTAAAAAGGAGGACATGTCCTCCTTTTGCCTGATATCTGGCAACCCTAGATTGGGGTCCAATAGTTGGGCAAGTTGGAAAATTAGAAAAGAAATAAGGATGGGATCAAAGATAAATGGAGATTGGTGAAGGGGAATAGGTGTACAATGACCAGGAGAACACTGCAGTATTGACTGGGGAGACCCACTGGTCAGATTAGGCCTGTGGACTGGAAGTTCCTTTGGGTGATCTATAGCAGTGGTCCCCAACCTTGGGCCTCCAGATGTTCTTGGACTTCAACTCCCAGAAATCCTGGCCAGCAGAGGTGGTAGTGAAGGCTTATGGGAGTTATATTCCAAGAACATCTGGAGGCCCAAGGTTGAGGACCACTGATCTATAGAATGTACTGTACAGGGAAGGGCAAACTGGGGGTAATGTTGTTCTCTATGTCAAAAAGCACATAGTGTCAGACAGACTGCAGTACTCCAAAAGGATAGGTAACTATATGGATACATTAGTCACAAACTATATTGAATACTAAAGCACCTCTTATCATACTACTGATAAAAATGCTTTAGATGGTCTTGAGATGCAGAACAAAATCTGGGAGGTATTTAAAGGAGAACCTGTTATTGTAATGGATAAATTATATTACTCCGCCCCCCTCAGGGTGCATGTTTTACTTCTGACAAGCAGATAACATTTCTAAATATATACTAATTACCTGTGTAGAATGGTGGGTTTCATACTTGGGATCCCTGGATGTTCTTGGACAACAACCCCCAGAAGCCCTAGCCAGCACAATGGGTCAGGGCTTCTGGAACTGAAATGCATAAACATGTGGAGCCCCAAGTTTAGGAAGTATTGTTTCAGAATAAATTGCCATGGAGTTGGCCAGAGGGGAAGTGACTCTGGACTGTATTTTAAGAGGTGCCCAAGTAAAAGAGAAGGAAGATAAGGAGAGTCTGGTTGTGACAAAGGGAAAATCCATATTAGGGATTATTAAGAAAATAACTGAAAATAAAACCCTCAATATCACAATGCCTTTATACAAAAATGATGCAACCTCACTTACCTATTTGTATGCCAACTTTCTCCCCATAGGAATACAGTACTGCACAACTGGAAATACTGTGTTGAGTTTTACTAACTGGTCTGAAACAAACAAATAAAATTGAATGGGTGATGGGAAAGAACAAGCGAAATACTTAAGATTTCTGTTTCTGGGGCTGTTCAGTTAACAAAATAAGCAAGTAAATCAGGGGCTATAACAGATGTGAGTAAAATGTATGCATTGTAGATAATATGGACAGAGAGGGAAACTGCCTATCATGTCCTCCCTTTACTGTCCTTCCCTCATAAAACCATTTCCAACTTCCTCTGCTAAGGCTTAATGATGATCCAGCATCATTATTTCTTTTCAGAAACATAACCTCAAAAACTTGCCATCACAAGATGCCACCGGATTAGATAGATTTAAAAGGAAATTCAAATTCAAGTAGGATAAAATTAGCTCCCCCCTCCACCCATCCACAAATTAAAAATGGAAGTGCATAGATGGCCTTGGAGGCCACATGTTGCCTCCATCGCTGTCTAGGTACTTTATCTAAGGCATTATTTTAGATAAAACATTTCTGAGGTTCATAGTCTTCCTGAATATACCTGCAGAAACCACTGCTATGAAACACTGGTGAATTCAATCATGAGTATTACAGAAAATGGCAATTCATAGCAACACGTTCCAAAGCTGAGCAATGTCTTTATTGGATCACTAAAAAGCTACAAGTAAAACAAGCTTTTGAGTTCTCCAGAACTCTTCATTGGACAAATACAGTATGAAATGTGGGATTAAGATAAATGGTTCAAAAACTGGACCAGACTTGCTCCCTTAGCTCATGAAGCCAGATGCCCCCCCAAAAATGGCATGTATATTCTACATAATATAGAGGTGACAACCTGAATTTCCTTCCCCTTCTTCAGACCAAAGGGCGTTTCTCCTCCCCCACGGGAATATTGATTGCCTTCAGTGAGGGACACAGACATCTTTCTAGGCTTGGAGTAGACACATATGAAGCAAAGCCCCAGTCTCTATATCAGCAAAACAGGAAAATAAATTCTGGTATCACTTGAAGCTAAGATAATAATAATTTATTGTCATTGTAAGTGTATACACATACAACGAAATTCACAGACACCCAGAGACCAGACACATGCACACACATAAAATTCCCAAACACTCCCCACCCACTAAAAGTCCCCCACTAAAAATACAAACATCTACACCGCAGGCCAAGTTACACAGTCCAACTAATTATTCACTACTGGTGGTCTTTAAGCTCATTATTAATTGCAATTATAGCTCTGGGATAAAAACTATTGAGAAAACGTGTGGTCCGAGTCTTAATTGTTCTATATCTTCTGCCAGATGGTAACAGTTCAAAAAAGTTATAAGCAGGATGGGAAGAGTCTCTCAGGATGCTATGTGATTTCCTTAGACAGCGGGATGTGAAGATGTCATCCAGGGTTGGTAGCTGGAGCCCGATGATATTCTGGGCAATTTTAATGGTTCTCTGTAGAGCTTTTTTGTCCGCTACAGAGCTACTCCCAAACCATGCCAGAATGCCATAGGTTAGGACACTCTCAATGGTGCTACGATAGTATGACAGAAGCAAATGCTGAGATAAATTTAACTTGCCGAGCATTCTCAGGAAATACAGCCTCTTCTGTGCCTTCTTCATTAGCATGTTGGCATTTGTAGTCCATGAGAGGTCCTCTGAGATGTAAGTACCCAGAAATTTAAAACTACCAACTCTCTCCACTTCCTCACCGTTTATGTACAGTGGTAAATGTACATATCTCTTCCTCCTAAAATCAATTATGAGTTCTTTAGTTTTTTTGATGTTAAGTGTGAGATGATTTTCTTTACAGCAAAGTATCAACCTTTGTACTTCCTTTCTATAAGCAGACTCATTGTTCTTATTTATGAGCCTCACTACTGTCGTATCATCCGCAAATTTAATAATTGCATTGGTGTTATACAGTGGGGTGCAATCATGTGTGTACAGGGAATAGAGGAAGGGACTTAGCACGCAGCCCTGGGGAGCTCCTGTACTTAGTACCAGGGTAGAAGAATGGTGAGATCCCATCCTTACTGACTGTGGCCTATCTGTCAGAAAATCCTTTATCCACATGCATATCTCCTGAGGTAATCCCAGGTTGATCATTTTAAAAAACAACCTATTTGGTAGAATGGTATTAAAAGCAGAGCTATAATCCACAAACAACAGCCTCGCATAAGTTCCCTGATGTTCTAAGTGGCTCAATACAGTATGGAGTACAATGGACACAGCATCATCAGTAGATCTATTTTTCCTGTATGCAAATTGCCATGGGTCCAAAGAAGGTGGAAGACTAGCCTTAATGTAATCCAGCACCAATCTCTCAAAACATTTCTTAACAACAGATGTTAAAGCTACTGGTCTATAATCATTGAGAGATACCACAGCTGACTGCTTTGGGACTGGCACTATAATAGATGTCTTCAGGCAGGTGGGGACTGAACACTGCAACAAGGATAGATTGAAAATATCCGTAAAAACTCCAGCTAATTCTGCAGCACAGCCCCTAATAACTCGTCCCATAATTCCATCTGGCCCAGCTGCCTTTAGAACGTTAATATTCTGGAAAGCGTGTCTCACATCTGAAATCTGCAGTACTAGTGGTTGTCTGTTGATGGTAGATTCTAGTGATGTATTATAGACAGTAGGTGCTGGAATAATGGTTGTTCCTGTTTCCACCTCAAAACGGCTGAAAAATTGATTCAACTGCTCAGCCAAAAAAAATCACTGCTGCTACACAGACTGTTTTTGTTACTCTTCCCCGTGATTTGTCTTAGGCACAGAAAAGAAGGCACAGCTAGTACTTTTTAAGCAAAAGATATGAAAATCCTTCATCTTCAACAACTTTGGAAGAACTTTAGCAAGTTTGACACATGTGACAGCAATCCTTTTTGGTTTGTTTGGCAGATAAGACACTTATTTGTCATGAGTCTTACTCTTTAGTGTGAGATACTGTAATATTCAAAATGTTCCCACAATTATGCCAATTACTGGGAGCCTGCCATAATTGGCTGTTTTTTGGTTTGTTATTTTCTGGCCACCAGCTGGCATACAAAAGCTCAATGCCATCACATTCTGTCTTGCAAAAATAAAAATCAGCTTCTTAGATATTATCTTTAAAAGTACTGTAATAGCCATAAAGAACTCTTTGCAATTTCCCAAGGACTGATTGCAAAGATAAGCTTCACTTATATACAAGACTATCATTCCTTAAAATAAAATGACCTTTTCATAAATGGCTTAATGGAGCAGGGGTTACATATGTACACCCTGCAATGGAACAGATGGAAATCACTCACAAACCCATGCAGCCGAATTTCCCAGTGAACTGGGCATGCCGACTAACATTTGGCTGGCATCTCCTCATGCCTTTTCTGCTCCAAAGCAAACCACATATTGCCAGACATCTGCACACAGTGGGAATAAAATGATGCTATGCACAATAAGAAGAGATCAATTGAAACACCTGATGGAACTTTTGCTTTACTCAATAGGAGTAATTGCATGTTCTTGGCATTCTTAGCACAGTCTGTCTGAAGAAATAATGATTTTTTTTTTAAAAAAATAATAATAGGAAAAAACTCCTCTACAGAACTCACAAGTGATGTTCAAGAGCAGTTCACACAGTGTCGTTTCATTTCATAATAGATATTATGAAGACTTCAAGTGTTTCCTCCTAGGAAGATACAATTTACCTGCCTGCATTTTCTTTGCACTACTTTGCCCCAACCAGTTGTGGTACAGAGTTATAATTAACAATAACAGAATTGCAAATACCTTGCTGGCTAAATATGAAGGAGAAGTGAACCATCATAAAGACACAGGAGGAAAGATATTTCATGTCATCCAGTAAGTCATAGCCAGAGAGTTCTTATGTCATAAAGGCTTAGTTTGCATGTTTGGATTGAAACAACTTGTCTGCATGATCCAGCAAGGCATATTGATCTGTAGAGTTCAAGCCTAGAAGGTATAACTTGAGCATTTAAGCCAGATAGATGCCACACTTTACCTGTCCTTTGAATAAGGGTAAGTTGTCACTTGAGGGAGTGGCACCTCTCTATTGATTTTGGTGTCAGGCACTCCCTATCCCAGACCATGAGCAGGTCCTATTTATCTGGCGCCGATGTTGATGACATTTCAGCACCAGGTCAAAACCTTCCTGTTCCAGAAGACTTTTAATTGAAATAACATCAGCTGTGGGTCCTGATGGCAATTTTAATTGTATTTTAATTATTTTATCTTTTATCGTATTTTAATTGAATTTTAATTGTTGTTATATGGACAGCATATAAATTAAATAAATAAATAAATAAATAAATAAATAAATAAATAAATAAATAAATAAATAAATAAATGGGCACTGCCCCTCAAGAACCTAGGACCCACATGACAAATCCTCCACCTGCAAGCATATTTCAACCTGGAGTTGAAAGATCAGAGCAGGCAGTTGCTACACCTTTTTCTCCTCTGAAAAAGGCGTCTCTGTGTAGAGGACCTGATCAATATTGTCTGTCCTCACAACCCTAGATGTGCACACATGCAGAAACACAGAAAAAAAGTCTTCTTCTATTGAATCAGCATCTGTGTCCCCCTCTTCTGCAGAATCGCCTGATGGGAATGATATGGGAAAAGGAAAGAGTTTTTTATTATTTATTTATTTATTTATTTATTTATTTATTTATTTATTTATTTATTTATTTATTTAT